AGCAGTATCTTTAACTGTTGTGTGTATAGCATGATGCTTGACAGTTCTATTGCAGGGATAGTGTGTGAGCTTGTGCGCTGCGGTGTTGCCAAGCTAAATGATTATATGTGAGCACTGACTTCGTTCTGTGCAAGCTTGACCAACAAATAGTAGCAATCTGCAATCGAAATTCCATCCTTTTTTGCTATTATTATTATTACTACTACTACTACTACTTCTTATTCTACTACTACTACTACTACTACTACTACTACTACTACTACTACTACTACTACTACTACTACTACTACAATAACAACAGGACACTACAAGTTGAGAAGCACAGCAAACTTGATGTTACAAAAAAAGTGATGTTGATTTTCTGTTGGCCGATGTTTACTAATGCAAGCACTGAAAAGAAGAGCATGTATGCAAAGTGCAAGGATTTCATTAAATCAAAAGTGATACAGACAGTTATTTGGTTAAATAAAAAAGTACACCCAAACCTCAATATAATGAAGCCAGATATAACAAAATATCGATTATAGTGAAGTAAATGAAAAAAAAATTGTCTTGCAGTAGATATAGTGTTAGGAATATTCCTTTATAACGAATTTTTTATTACAACAAACTTGCTTTCATGTAAGATGCAACTTTGTTAAAATGGGATTTTCCGATGGAGGCAGAAATGTAGGCCCGTGTACTCAGATTTGGGTGCACGTTAAAGAACCCCAGGTGGTCTCCGGAGCCCTCCACTCCACTCCACGGCGTCTCTCATAATCATATGGTGGTTTTGGGACGTTAAACTCCACAAATCAATCATTAGATTGAGGTTTGAGTGTACATGACTTTCAATGGTACTTACTGGGAATTTACAATATTCTATTGCATTGCGAGATTGAAGTAACTAGAAGAATAAGAATGGGGTGGAGCACATTCGGCAAGCACTCTCAAATTATGACAGGTAGATTGCCACTATCCCTCAAGAGGAAGGTATATAACAGCTGTATCTTGCCGGTACTTAGCTACGGAGCAGAAACCTGGAGACTTACAAAGAGGGTTCAGCTTAAATTGAGGACGACGCAGCGAGCAATGGAAAGAAAAATGGTAGGTGTAACCTTAAGAGACAAGAAGAGAGCAGAGTGGATTAGGGAACAAACGGGGGTTAAGGATATCATAGCTGAAATCAAGAAGAAGAAATGGACATGGGCAGGGCATGTAGTGCGTAGACAGGATAACCGCTGGTCATTAAGGGTAACTGACTGGATTCCCAGAGAAGGGAAGCGGGTTAGGGGGAGACAGAAGGTTAGGTGGGCAGATGAGATTAAGAAGTTTGCGGGTATAAATTGGAAGCAGCAAGCACAGGACCGGGTTAACTGGCGGAACATGGGAGAGGCCTTTGTCCTGCAGTGGACGTAGTCAGGCTGATGATGATGATGATGATTGCATTGCGAATTGCATTATATATTAATGTTTGACTATTAGGTAAGTAGTGTGAAATAATTATAATATTTTTTGTTGGTTACATTAAGCAATTGCATTTTCATTCGAGAGACAGCATATGTGCAATAATTAGTCATTCCTGGTACAATGCAACATGCTGCTTGCATATCGACTAGCATACTGTTAACTGAAATTGAATTCCAGTGCTGCATAGTTGAAGAAACAGGGCTATATACTATAAAAAATGTTGAAACACACACTTTAAAGCATGTGATATGCGCGCGCTCGCGCGTGCCCCGCTCCGGTTTACTTGCGGTAAAGATATACACCACGTCGACTACTGCATGCAGGTTTTGGACGCTGTGAGCAAGGTCAGTCACTTTCCAGGTGTTTCTTCACCGGCAGAAAGAAAGTGAGGATAAAAAAAAAGAAGGATTTAATTGCAAGTTAGCTAAACTATGTATATAGCCACGACCTTTTATGGTATCAGATCTAAAAGAGACTGCTAAACAATATTCGTAGAGCAGGTTTATTTTGATTATATTGTATTTAGCAAATAATTGTGAAGTATGGGCATTAAAAGGGAGGTTAGCAACAGATCTTAGCACCTTTTTTTATAAGATAATAAGATTACTAATAGATTGCTTTGTTCCATTACCCCAAATTAGATTGCAGCAACTCAGATGTGATGTAAAGAGTGCATTAAATATCAGAAGTTTTTGGGGAACTGGCAATAAACCCTGACATTTTCTCAAGACAGCCAAGACTTTGCAAAGCTTATTGTATAAAAATTCCGTGTGATAATCCCTCTTCATGTGTTCATGGAAAGCAACACCCAAAGACTTCGCGGTGGAAAAGAATTCGATTATGCTGCTATTCAACATGAGATTGTAGGATTCAGTAGTTTCATTGAGATTTGGCATGAAAAAGAACAGCTTTTGTTTTGAGACAATTTTTAAGTAAAGAATTTTGAAGGGTCCAGCTGTATATCTATTGTAACGTTGAGTTAGCAGTATTTACTAGATGACTAACATTCGTACCTGAAAAAAAAAAAAATAAGGCCCCGCCGCGGTGGTCTAGTGGCTATGGTACTCGGCTGCTGACCCGCAGGGCGCGGGTTCGAATCCCGGCTGCGGCGGCTGCATTTCCGATGGAGGCGGAAATGTTGTAGGCCCGTGTTCTGAGATTTGGGTGCACGTTAAAGAACCCCAGGTGGTCTAAATTTCCGGAGCCCTCCACTACGGCGTCTCTCATAATCATATAGTGGTTTTGGGACGTTAAACCCCACATATCAATCAATCAAAAAAATAAGCTCGTATCGTCTGCATAAATTACGTATTGGGCTAAAGGGTCAACATGTACAATATCGTTTATAAATATAATGAACAAAAGGGGACCCAATATGCTGCCTTGGGGAACACATCTTTAACAGTTTGCACAGACTAAATATCCCTGTTTATAGATACACACTGGTGTCTGCCTGTTAGGTAGCTTTCGATCAGATTTAAGGCTACACCCCGAATTCCATAACACTGCAGTTTTCCTAATAATGTCTTGTGGTTTATTTTGTCGAATGCTTTCGACATATCTAAAAATATGCCAAGTGTGAACTTTTTGGCCTCAATATTTTTGAGAATCAATTTCTTTTGAAACAATAGGGCTCTTTCGGTTGAGTAGCTTGATCTAAAACCAAATTGTGATTGAGTTTTAATGGAATGTTTATCGAAAAAATTCAACAGTCTAGTATGAATAATTTTTTTAAGTCCTTTGGAAAAAAGCGGGAGAATTGAAATCGGTCTGTAATTTGTTAGTGTTTTTGTCTCCACCTTTGTGGATCGTCACCTTAGCATCCTTCATTATTTGTGGGAAAATGCCGCTTTTTAAGGAAACGTTGTAAATGTGTGTCAAACATGGACTAAGTAGGTCAATAACATGTTTTATCGCTTCCATTTTTAGGCCATTTAAATCCTCACTCTTAGACATCTTAAAGCTTTTAAACACTCGTATTACCTCATCTTCATCTGTCGGACAAAAAAATATTGATTCCTTGAGTGGTGCTGGTAAGTACTCAAAAGCACTTGTTTGGTGCGAGCTTTTAGTTATAGATGTGAAGTATTCATTAAATTGATCTGCTAACTCTTTGGCTTTAATAACCTCATTGTCAATTACAAGTTATAAACAATTTGTAGCTCTACCTCGAGATATGATGGAGTTTAACTTATTCCAGATTTCTTTGCTGTCAGAGACGCCTTCAAACATATAATGATAATAATTTCGTTTTGCTTGCCGTTGGACTTTAGTAACTGAATTTCTGTATATTTTAAACGTCTTCAAATCATGTGAATTTGGGGTAACTAGAAATACGTTAAATAATTTATCTTTTTCCTTCATCATTTTTAGTAACCACACCGCGGTGGTCTAGTGGCTAAGGTACTCGGCTGCTGACTAGCAGGTCGCGGGATCGAATCCCGGCTGCGGCGGCTGCATTTTCGATGAAGGCGGAAATGTTGTAGGCCCGTGTGCTCAGATTTGGGTGCACGTTAAAGAACCCCAGGTGGTCTAAATTTCCGGAGCCCTCCACTACGGCGTCTCTCATAATCATATAGTGGTTTTGGGACGTTAAACCCCACATATCAATCAATTCATCATTTTTAGTATCTCAGAAGTCATCCAAGGTTTGCGAGCACGCTTTGGCTTTTTCAAAGCCCTAAGAGGAAAACATTTATTGTAAAGTGAAATAAATGGTGTAAAGTGAAACGAATGATAAATGAGTTCACTATGATGTTCAGCCCACCGACACCACAATGTGCCGCGAAAGGTTTTCCATTTTTGGGTAACTGGGCACTGCAGAGACTGGGTGATTAGTGATAATGACTTGGATAAGCATCAGGAAACAGCATTGGCGAGGTGACTGGTGGCAATGAGATGGCCATATTAACGCATCGCGCCAACCTGACCACAGTCGTCGGCAGATATCTGCTTGGCGGAGTGACAAGAGCGCCATGCCGACGTTCGCACATTCGCCGCCGCCACGTCGTGTGAGACCGCTTGCGCGCATTGCTTACAGAATTCGTCTTCGTTGTGTTAAACGAAAAGGCTACTCATCGCGCCCGAGCACAATCCTGAGGGAAGCATGCACGAAGAGCGCACAGACTCATGCATGCATTGGCCACCTGGCATGCGACGGTGAGAGCTGGGTAAGCGACGCGCTGCACGCAACTAGCTAGGGATGATTGGTTCAATATGGTGGTACTATGCTTCAGTCAAACGGTGCTAGTTCATTGCGAACGTTGTTTAATTCACTCGTGGGCAAACGGGCGTTGTTTAACACGCTAAAAGGCCTAACTTGTCAATAGAGTAGAGGGGTTGTTAGCACTTTTGAATAAATGTACAAGAGAAAAAAAAAAATGGTTTAGTCGCTAAGTGAATGTTTCTATGGGCGAGTCTATATACAACAAACTGCTTATATAACTACCACTTATCATGGCACATTCGAGTTCGTTTTAAACAGGTTACAAAAGGCTGTTTGCTATCATATTTATCTTAATTTTTTTTATCACTGTTCTTTTGAATTATAGGTATTATACTCATAGGAGAGATTGGTGGGAATGCTGAGGAAAGTGCTGCAGAATATCTTGAAAAACACAATTCGGTAAGTAATCATGATTTATTATTCACCAGATCTGAAAGATATTTGAGAACACAGTGCTGAATTCAGTTCCAGTAAACATGCCTGAGTTGAAAAACATATTTTCAACAATGTTCAGAAACTATTTCCATCACTGTTTCTAGTTCAGTTATCTCAACAGCAATAATTTTAATTAGTTTTGAAAGTGATTGTACACTTGCATGAGATGATTATCGGTGATGTTGATGATTGATTCCGCAATGAAGGTCGTCAGTTGAATCTTTCAGTTACTTGGCTGTTGAATCTCCTTTACAGTGATGCTCCGTACATACTAGTCCAACACATTTACGTCTGAATAGCTAGAAGGCCCCAAGTTGAAATTGTGTAGATGTGTGAAAGTTTTTTACCAGCCATTTCTTCGAGACAAAGGTGGTGTGGGCTGGAGCCAAACATCCCTTATCAAGGGCTTCGAGTCCCGACCATGCATCCCCACATATGCAGACGCTAATGTGTAGTTCTTGTTGAAAGAAGAATGGCGACGTGGTTTTGGCCGCCATTGCCAACTTTTGCCAACACCATCACAGTGAATGAAAATTTCTTGTGCGTCAATGTTAGAACCTCATCAATGATTGCACAGAGCCACCTGTTGTCAAGCAGGTTGGCTTTGTAGTTTTGTTAAATTTGTTCATGCCTGGGGAAAAAGAGTGAATACTTAATAAGAGTGAATAAGAAACAATAATCAACTGTGACTGTTCATCTCTTTCCTTACCCACGCAGTGCTCAGAAATGAATAGAAATAGCATCACCCCGAGCAGAATTGCCTGGGCGTAGAGGCCATGGACTTGAGTATTAGTTTCAGTACACTGAAATTGCCAAACAGGCTTGTAAGAAGCAGGCACTTATTATTTTTTTAACCTAAATATTTTTTTAATTAGTGCAGCTATTAAAAAACTAATCACAGATTTGAAATCAGCGTTACACGCTGGTCAAGAGTGAAGTATGTATCATATTGACTCAGAAATAATCACATTTTGGGACCCATATCTTCCCTTAATTAGGGTTATAGTATGTTGTGAAATGGCAAAAATTTATATGCTACGTTCTAGTATTTCATTGTATGCACACAAAGGCACTGGAGAATGTAAAACGGCTATGGAGTACAATGAACTCATATGTGAGACATAAATCGAATTTTAGTAACAGGAGGAGCCCACAAATTGTACAAATCCTGGCCATCTTAAAACATATTTCAAGCACTAATCAAATTTACTAGTCGTTCAGGTGTACAAATTGTACGGAAGATCTTGGCTGTCGAAAAATGACAGTACCCCATGGCATTCACTCCCATAGGAGAGGCTTTCTATCTGAGAAGCTAGAAGTTCAAGTGATCTTTTTTTTTTTTTTTCCTGTTCCAACTGGCTCTCAGCTGTGCAGCCAGAAAGAAAAGAAAAAAAAAGGGGGGGGGGGGTATTTTTAGGATTTGTTCTTCACTCTCAGTAATGATCGATAAAATAAATTACAGTCCAACTCACTTACAACGATCCCAAATATGACGATCTATTTGTTATAACGACCATATTTCAGTGCACTTATGATTTTCCTATGCTACCCTTTGAAATTGAGTCCACATAAGCGAACATTTTTCAAAGCCTCCTGCTTTTAAAATGAACTCTTCAGACACAGTCGCAGCAAAAATATAGCGCATACGAAGCGAAAGAAAAAAAAAGAAAACAGGCATTCTGAAGTATGTGATAGCACGCGCTCGCATGTGCACCACTGAAGTCTACTGGCGACGAAGATATCACAGAATGCGGCAAGCATCGCACGCAGATTTCGGACATCGCGAGCGAGGTCGCTCAGTTTCGAGACGTTTCTTCACAGGTAGAATGAAAGTTAGCGGGGAAAAAAAGAAAAGAAAAAATAGGCAGCATGGAGAATTATGGTCAGCTTTCGCACGGCAAACTTTCACACGACCACTGACAATAAACCAACAATGCCTTCAAGTGCAAGGAGCCATAAATGCGAGAAGCGATAACTTTTGTTGCGTGAAAGTTCACTGTGATTCTGAACTTTCTGACCCACTATGTGCCGTTAAAGGTTTTCCACCTTTTGGTAAAAGCAAAGGCTGATCGATTAGTTATAACGACTTCCGCACTGTTGCAGCGGTGCCTTAACAGATAAGCATAAAAAAGAGCGACAGTGAGGTGGTCAAGGCGATGAACATGCCATGTTGACTCTCTGCTGGTGAGCTTATCTCAGTCATCTTCAGATAACTGCTGGGCGGAGTGACGGGGGTACGAGCGCGTCATGGTGTCATTCACAAGTTCGCCGCCGCAGCGTCCTGCGAGGCTGTTTGCACACGTTGCTCGCAATAAACGAACAGGCTACCAGCCGCACCATAGCCCGATCCTGAGTGAACCATGCGCGAAGAAAGCATAAATGTGCGCATACATTGAACTGCAAGCAAACTGGTATGCGACGGTGAGAGTAGCTAGAGTAAATGACATACTGCACACAACTAGCCAGGAATGACTGGTTCGTCGTGGCAGTACCGCGATCCAGTGGAACGGCGTGAGTTGATTATGAACGGGCGTCGTTTAACACGCGAAAAGGCCCAACTTGTCAGCAGATGGGTTGTTCGCACTTCTTAATAAAAAGACAAATAAAAATGGTTTGGCCACTATGTGGCCATTTTTATGGGTGGCTCTATATACAACGAACTACTGATATAATGACCATTTATCGCGGCACTTTCGAGTTCATTATAAACGGGTTCCACTGTATCTTGATTCTGTCTTTTGTGACTATTGGTGACCACTGTCGGCCCACAAGAAAAAATTGAAACTGTACTATAGGCTAAAGTGAACTTGGAGTTCACTTCATGTAACCACTCTTGTGCATGCAAGAAAAAACTGTCTAGAAGGTTCATAGTCAAGACACAGTGAACACCACCATAGTATCTTTTTTTCTCTGTGAAATGATGGTATATAACTTAAAGGTACACTATTAAGCTAAAGGTACACTAAAGTCAACTATTAAGCTGTCGTTGATTGTTGAAATGGCGGTCCAAAAACATCGTAGTGTTACATTTGCGCCGAGGAAGAGCCTATTTTAAAATAAAATTACGTTTTAGTGCTCCGCATCAGGTTAGCGCATTTCAAATTACCTGCCTCAAGAAGCGGACCGACTAGACCGACTCACGTCACTGTTGCCGTGTGCAACGTTGCTTGGCTTTACTGCGCTAGTAGCAGCAGACTGAAAGCAGCGGGAGCCACAGCAGCAACAACGACCATTGATCAATTCCCTGCCATAGGCTTCGAGATTGCACACGCTTTTGTTTCAACTGCACCCCGCTAGATGGTACCACTTGTCTCATGTAACAACGTGAAAATTGAATTTCTGAACCACTCACGCCACTCCCCGTAGTAATGTCCGGCGGTTATTTTTTTCCATGAATCAAACAGAAACGAACAAGCAGCATTTTATTGCTTCTCTTGATGCCCCGAAGGCTCTTTATTAGGGCAGTTAGATTGATTACTAGTGATTAGTTGTAGTCCATCTGATGCCATCAGGATCATTTTCAAAATGTCCTACTGTGGCTCTTGTGTTCTTGTGCATTGACCTTAATTTCTCGGTAAATAGGGCACTGTTGATAATGTCGTTTTAGATGTTGTCATACATTTAGCTTTCACTCTGACATAAATTGTTATTTGTCTTTAGTGTCCCTTTAAGGGGAGATGTGATTGGAAAACGACGTTTCGTGACTCTGTAGGCTAGGGCTACAAAATTGTTTGCTCTATGTATATAGGTTTTTATGCTGATTTCAAATATGTAATTATAGTTTCATAGTCAGCTGCACACTTTTCATTTTGTGTCACGGCAATATGTAAAATAGTTTGTTTTGGACAAACTTTTTATGCCATTAAACTTTTATGGTTCTCAATCATCAAAGGCTCATATTGCTACTCCATAACTGTAAAATGCAAATAACTATCAAGAAAGTGTGTATAAAACGTTTCAATGGACAAGAAAATTTGTAATGTGAGAACCATACGGATTGCTTGCTTCAGCATTGCAATAATTATGCAAATGATACAAAGTTTTGAAGGAGCTACTTGCACCCTTCACATGTTAAGCAATATTTGGGCAAAATTTGATCCTGATCTTGCTATCAGAAGTGCCAAAAACATTATGTATACAGTGTACTCTCATTAAACAGAACCTGAAACGACCGGGAAAATGTGGTCTGTTGAACAGGAGTTCCATTTATTAAGAGATGAACTGGGGTGCAGTATGCTGGAATGAAACCGATCATATCAGAGGCAATTGTTCTATTTAAGCTGAAGTTCCGTTTATCAGATTTCTGTTTACTGAGAGTCAGTCCACTGTAATCTTGAAAAGTTGCCCAAAACTTGGATCCTAAGAAGAACTTATCTTAATAGTACTATAGGTCATAGCTCATCTATGCGGCAAAGGTATGTTTTTCAAAATTAATTTTTCCTTCATGAGAGCTTGGCAATCATTTTTATTTTGAGCATGTGACTTGTGAACTCCTCATGCAAAATGCAGTGGCTAGCAGCCAGGTGACAATATACAGGGGACTCTAGACAATGAGCTTTTTTTAGTTTTTAGTAGCCACCTTGTGCTCTTTAAAAGCAAGGTTTAACCTACTTTGAGTTCTGTTTCAACCTCCTGTTCTTTAGTTGTGAAAGCTGTCTTGTGAAAACCAAACAAACTTGTGAAAGCTTTGGAAAAAACTTTAGTTTTTCTACTCGCATCTCCCTTTAAATAGCTCTAAGAACAACCCATTTTTCAAACATTGGTGGTTGCTTTTGTAGTGGAGTACACTGCAGCTTCAAGTTGGGGCCTTGTGGCACTCGTTTGACAGCTGCTCTGGAGCAAGCCGATTGCAGTGTGTAGTTGTGAGTAGCTTGTGTCCTCATTTCCAAATCTGGCCATTTGGGGAGGCATCACATGGCATGTTATATCAGTAAGCTTGCTACCGTCATGTCAGTCTCTCAAAGGAAAGTGTACATTGTATCTTTAGCTGGTGTCAAAGAAACGTTTTGTGAGGTGAAATGCAGTGCTTTGAGGTGAAGCCTGGTGAAACATACTGCTTTTGTTGAAACAGCAGAGCTCATATGCTTGTTAAGGTGTTGTATAAATGCAGTAACATTTTGTAAATGGTTGTGGCATATGCGTGCAGGGCGCGAGTGCCAAGCCTGTGGTGTCCTTCATTGCGGGATTGACAGCACCACCTGGTCGGCGAATGGGGCATGCAGGTGCCATCATAGCTGGTGGCAAAGGAGGTGCGAAGGAAAAAATAGAAGCCCTCAAGGCAGCCGGCGTTACTGTTACCAAATCACCTGCCCAGATGGGAGCTGCCATGCTGCAGGTATGCATGTTGTTCTTATACGGGAGACAGGTTTAAAGGTAGGAGCGAGAGGCTAAGTGAAGTAAATGTCGAGGGCTTGACTATAACTGGCATAGAAGAGTGAAGGAAAGGACACTAGCGGGGATAAACAACTACGGCACCCTTGTCGTGTTCTCGTAACAGATTTCGCAGTAAAAAAAAACTCCTCTTGAAATGAAACTTTTGGTGCTTAACATGCTTGCTCAACACAAGTAGTGGAAAATGTCATCTAGCTCAGTGTGAAGATGGGGGACATTGCCAACTGGAAAAGATCTTTCTGTGTTTCTCTCCCAATTGGTAGCCACAAGGAAATCTGTAGGGACTTCTCAGAACAGCCTCTTAATTGCCGAAAAATTCATCCTGGTCCGGGGTACGAACCTGGGACAAACCCCTTTCCGGAGCAGTCGCTCTGCCAATTGAACTAATCAGGAATTCATCGACAACTCGAAACACATAGCCACAAGTATTGCAAATTAGTTCTGTGGAAACTTGCAAGGTGGTTGAAGGGTTAAGAAAAGGAAAGAAGGCAACCACCTATTTGTAGCATGAAGCCACAAGGAAATCCAATGGATTTCTCAGAAAGAAAAGCCTCTTAGTTACCGAAAAAATTCGTCCTGGTCCATGATTTCCTTGTGGCTTCGTGCTACAAATGCGTAGTTGTATTCTTTCCCTTTCTTATCTACTCTTCGCGCCAGTGCTCTTGTCTTTCATTGTGCTAGCCACCCTAACTATGCCTCGCGTGCTTCCATTTAAAAATATTTCATCTGCAAGTGCAGTTGTCACAGCACAATTTGCAGACAACAAAACAGGCTCATACCCAGCAATTTTTTCAAGGGAAGGTGGGGGGGGGGGGGGGGGGGGACTTGTTGAAGGCCTTGAAAAACCCCTATTTTCATTATTCATTCTTGCAAAACGCCCCGCTTCGTCTAAAATTTGGGGGGGGGGGGGGGGGGGGGAGTTGTACCTCTCTCGGCTACAAGCCTGGTAGAAAATATGTGCTCACAAAACGACGGAACTCGAGAACTCTTGTATACGGGCTACAAAACTACCAGTCACCTTCGAGCACGGAGCATCTTCTTTACAAACAAGCATAGCATTTGGCCCGAAGTGACCAGTGTGGCTGTCAGCATAGCTACATTCAGCGTATGCATTTTCATTTGAAAAACAATTTTAATGCTTTTTTTCTCTTCAGACTTACTTAATGTTTCATTGTGAAAACTGCTGAACGAAGATTCACAAAAGGGCCACTAGAAGTGAAATTAAGATACTTCTGCGAAAATCAAACGGTGCCGACTGAGCTCTTCGTGGCAACTGTTATGGCTTTTATTGCCATGTGACGCTGCCACAACTCCTTTGCCGCCGAACTTTCTAACAAAGTTTGACATAGATGGAGGTTAATGAAGTTTGTCGATGTTACAGGGGCATGAATCATGGGAGCTTTGAGAAATGGTTTCCTAATCACCCACTTCTTGTACCACGAATTTTTTTGAGAGTTTTTAGGACAATGAAACCTGGTGCGTGAATAAGGTAGAGATGCGTAGGCTCTGCCGCTGTTGCACACAGTTAAACCTGCTTTTAACGAATTTTTTGAGACATTTAACCCCAAATATCATCAATAACGAATTTCTTGATGTAACGAAGTTTTTTTATTCTTCGCCATTACTCCACAAAAACGCATGTATTTGTGACCTCTATGTAACATAGTAACTGCACGACAACCTTGATATAATGAATTTTCGCCACGGACAATCTAGGATTTTTGCCCTGGATTTAGTTGTTTTCGGCACGAGTATCTCCCGCGGTTGCCCCGCCTCCGACGAAGTGCGAAGTAGAGGTGGCGCGCTCGTGGCCCCGGCGACTCCCAGGCGAGAGCGAACGCTTGTTATTGCACGTGGTTGTGCGTGAGGTGGGCAGGCAAGCCTGTGCCCCACGAGCCGCCACTCTTGCCGCCGCGGGCGCATGCACGGTTGTGCCCACCCTCCCCTTCACCCAAACAAAAAAAAAAGGACTACTTTTGCTTTTGCAGTGCCACTCCTTTAATTACCGTCACATATGTGGGGTCGTGCTGCATATGGAGGGTGCTTTACCAAATAGTTTTTCATGGTATCTATGTTGTTCGCTCTTCGTTTTTGACGTGCACGCGTGCAGGGATTACGCGCGTGGTGTAGCCTCCAAGGACGTTTAGCTTTGCATTTTTTTCTTTTTGTCACTACCGAGGAGATGACAGGGTGCTAATCAAAACTGCGAGACCACGGTGACAACGGCGAATCTTTGGAGGTCTACTCGTCACATGCTTCCGTTTGTGTTGCACCACGAACGGAAGCGTGTGTTCGCGGGACCGTGGCCTTCGCGATTAGCTCGGGCAACAACACGACGGCGCACCTCGCCGTAGTGGTCTAGTGGCTAAGGTACCCCGGCTGCTGACCTGCAGGTTGCAAGATCGAATCCCTGCTGCAGCGGCTGCATTTTTAATGGAGGTGAAAATTCTGTAGGTCCGTGGGCTCAAATTTGAAGGTGCACATTAAAGAACCCCAGGGGGACCGAATTTCCCCAGCCCTCCTCTTCGGCATCTCCCATGATCATATAGTGGTTTTGGGATGTTAAACGTCACATATCAATCAATCGTCAAAACACGATGGTGCATCGAACGCAATGCAATGCAATGAATGCGATAGAGCAACAAATTGTAATGTTATACGAAGTACAGCTGGCAGCCAACTTTTCGATCCGATATCACAGAACTCTTACTAAACATTGTGGGGTCTCGACATGGCGAGAGCAGCACCCCGCTCTTAGAGTGAGCGGACACAGCAGACGCGGTTGGACCAACCAAAGCCAAACACACATATTTATTTAACTACTTCTATTTGTCGACAATATCGTCAGCCAAATAATTATAACATGAATTGTGATCAACACATGTATTTGGTCAGGCCTCAGTATATATACATAAAGATGCAAAGATTGTCTGTTATTTATTGTGAGCACTTCTCTCTCTTTTTTGCTATTAGATGACAGACAGTAATTATGGCACATTGTAATAAGCAGGTGTTTAAAAATGAGAACACTGTGGAATATACTGTGAAGGATTTAGCGTGTCTTGTGCTTACTTGCAGAAGGCACGTCATCAATGCATTTTCATGGCAGTGCTCGACTCTGTTTTTCTCGAATAGCATGTGCAGTGACTGTGTGCTCACAAATTTATTTGCTTGTAAAAAGCATACTCGATGATGTACTTTTGTGGTTTTGCTTATCTCTGGTTTTCCAGAAAAACATGAGCAGTGGCTCTGTGCTCATGCCACTCAGAATGACTAAGAATATCATGCACATGGAAGCCAATGCGAAATTCTGATGCTTTAGCTTTGTCTATGCATTTAGATCTGAAATTTCTACATTTTTAATGTACGCCTTTAAATTCCTTCGTTTACAACAATATAGTATATTTTTTTAGCAGCAACTAGATAATGTGCAATGCACCATACCCAAACTCTGCCTTCTCATGCCATACGCAACAGCGGTGATTTAGTGCCATGTGCCACAGGATGTACCGTATTTACTCGCATAATAGGCGCACTTTTTTTTTTTTTTTCAGAAAATCTGGCTCGAAGTTAGGGGTGCGCCAATTACGCGGGGTAAAATTTTCGAAAATTTTTTCAACTCGGTTCTCACGCTTGAAATCTGCACACTTGTCAAGTAAAAGACGACTTTATCGTTTACCAATTAATTCAGCATAAAACAAACATACCTACGTATCTTTTAATGAACAAGCGAGAGCCGTCAACTGCACACACACACGTAAAATTTATTTACACAAAAGTCGTAGCTGTTCCTCCTTTTCCCTATTCGGAGTCAGAGTCTGAGATCACACATTCATCCTCGCCGAGCGGGGATTCGTTTTCGGTGTCCGAATCATCCGCACCCCACAACATGTCATCCTCACTCGCATCCAGTGCGTTCGAGATACCTGTCTTCTTGAAGCTTTTCCCGACGACTTCGTCGGAGATCGCCTGCCACGCTTCCACGATCCAAGCGCACAGCATTTCCACAGGCGGCCTCTTAATCTTACCACCTGGAGTCAGCTGATGTTGTCCTCCAGCCATCCAGGTGGTGTACAGCCTTCGAACATTGTCCTTGAAAGGTTTATTCAAGGACACGTCCAAAGGCTGCAGTATCGATGTGAGGCCGCCCGGAATCACTGCCAGGTCTGTGCGCAGCTCCTTTAGCTCATCTCGTACGCGGTCTACTAGGTGCCCACGAAAACTGTCCAGGACAAGCATGGACGGCAACAACAGACCACCCGGCCGCCGACCCCAGACTGTTTTCACCCAATTCACCATGAGTTCCGCGCTCATCCAGCCTTTTTCCTGGACTCTGACGTAGATGCCTTGAGGGAATTTTGCCTTTGGGAGCGTCTTACGTTTAAAAATAACGTAAGGCGGTAGCTTACGCCCATCCGCTGTCACCACCAGCATTACGGTGCATCGTTGTTTATCAGCGCCAGACGTTCTGAGGATGACGCTCCGTGCACCTTTCTCCTCCACTGTCGTGTTCCACGGCATATCAAAGCAAAGGGGGGTCTGATCAGCGTTGCCGATCTGGGACAAAATGAAGTCTTTCTGCTGTCGGAGCTTTATAACAAAACTGTGGAAGTCCACCACTTTGTCCTCATATGCTGCGGGCAAGCGCTGGCACAAGGTGGTCTGCCTTCGCAGTGCGAGGCCATGGCGCCGCATGAAACGAGTTGTCCATCCGGAGCTGGCTTTGAACTCTTTTGCTTCGATGCCCTGCACTCGGGCTATTCTGTGCGCCTCAGTCTGCACAATATCCAACGACACAGCACAGCCGTCTTGTCGTAGCTCCCGTATATGCCGGACCAGTTGCTCTTCGACGTTCGGATACCTGCCGGTCTTGGCACCGCGGAAAGCCCGTCGTGTCTTCGTCGCCTTAAGTTTTTCTTTTTGGTCCCTCCAGTACCGAATACT